ATAAAAATATATTAAAAAATAAATAAACAAAAATGTGGTTACAGGAGCCTTCCATCCCCACCCCCAGAATGTAGGTCCCCTCACACAGGTGGCTCCAGTATACAGGGCAGCACCTGGCACTAGTGAGCACACACCAAGTGGGCACTTGGCCTCCAGGGTGAGGGCCTCTACTGTTGGCCATGTCCCCGCCGTGCCAGCCCCTGAGCCCTTGCATGGCTCCTGTCCCATCTGCCTAGAGGGGCCTCCCTGGTCCAGCCCCCCGCCCCCACCACCCTGGCAGAGGCTGCCTTCCCTGTAGTGGTCTCACCGCACAGGGCAGGGGCGACCATTCATTACACTGGGAGTGCGTGGTCTGGGGCTGGGCTGTCTCCCCAGAGCTGGCAGGGCACCATCACCCTCAGCACACCCGGCCACCCAGACCCAGGGCCAGGATGGGCAAGAGCGGGCGGGGCAGAGCAGAGCTGGCGGGTTCATTCCTGCGCACCGAGCACCCAAGGCTGTAGCCCTGGCCTCACCGCCCGCCTGGCATCCCTACTCACCCTCACTGAGGAAGGCGTCCCAGACACGCAGCACCGTGGGGAAGGGCAGGGAGCGGGCGAAGAGGCACAGGAACCACTCGGGCAGGTAGAGCAGGGGGCCGACGCCCACCTGCTGCAGGTGCTTGTGCACGCGTGGGAGCAGCCGCCGCAGCAGGGCCATGAACACCTCGGCGTCCAGCCTCACAGACTCCTGCAGCCATGTCCGTCAGTACCTCTGCTCCCTCCCCAGGCCCCCACCCGCCTGCCCAGCCCCCCTGCTGTGCCTCTGGCCCCATTCAGCCTCTCACCATGTGGGGCCCATAGTAGCCCGGCAGGTAAAGCTCGCAGATCTGCACCAGGCACCAGAAGGCCTCCTGAGGACAGAGCCGGGCCGTGAGTGCCCACCACCAAGGGGACCGCAGGGCGGGGGAAGGGGGGCAGGGGAGCCCTGGACACCATTTGTGGTGGCTCAAGCCAGAAGCCTGAACTCAGTGCTGAGGGGCTTTTACCAAAAGCCTCCCTGTGCCCAGACAGAGAGCTACCCATGATTTGGTCACAGAGCTCAGGGTGTTGAATTTGAGGGTCACAGGGTTGGGGCTCACTGGTCAAGGGTTGGGGGGGGGCTCAGAGTTCAAGTACTGGGTTCTTGGAGTCATTGGGTCAGGGATCATGTTTGCAAGGTTCAGAACCAGGGGTCAGGCCCTAGCTGGTTTGGCTCAGTGGTTAGAGTGTCAGCCCGCAGACTGAAGGGTCCCGGGTTTGATTCCAGTCAAGGGCATGTCCCTCAGTTGCACACTCAGTCCCAGGCCCTGGTCGAGGCACTTGTGGGAGGAACTAATCGAAGTGTCTCTCACATCGATGTTTCTCTCTCCCTGTCTCTCCTCCTCCCTTGCATTCTCTCTAAAAAATCAATGGGACAGATATCCTCAGGTGAGGATGAACAAAAAACCAAACAGAAACAACAACAAAAGAACTGGGAGTCATGAGGTCAAGGTAATAACATCCAGACTCCGCAATCACTGAGCAAGGTAACTGGAGTCAAGGTTGTTGGGCTTGAAGGTCACTGAGGTGGGCAGTAATGAGGCCCTGGATCACTAGGACCGGATCTGGGAGGCAAGGATCCCAGGTCCCTGAGGTCAGAGAACCTGGGGTTAGGAAGTCATAGGTCCAGGGCCCAGGACTACAAGGGAGCAGGGTCACTAGGGTTGGGGATCAAGGGTCCCAAGTACACAAAGTCAGAGTCCCTTGGGTTGGGGACAAGGTGAGTGAGGTTGGGGAGGTCAGGGTCTCGGGTCCCTAGCGCAGGGTCAGGGGCACTCACCTCGGGGGGCAGATGCATGAGCAGCACAGCAGCCACAGGGCCCTGGGCCTGGCAATAGCCCTGTTCCGGCCGATAGAGGGTGTAGGCCTTGAGTACCTGCAGGAGCCCCTGCTGCCTGTGCCAGAAGACCCCATTAAGCATCCCTTCCCCAACCTTTGGCAGCCTCTGCCCAGACCTCACCACCCTGGCCTTGCTGGATCCCCTGAGATGCCAGGCTTGACGCTGGGGGAGCAGGGGTGGAGGTGGGGGGTGTGGCTCGACCAAATGCCTGGGGTTGTGAGGCTGGGATCCCTGGGCAGCACTGGCCTCGTACCCGTGCCCCTGGGGTGACACAAACATCTCGTGCAGAGGGAACTGGCGGTGCAGGTCCCTGCTGATGGTCTCCATCCACTGCGGATCTCCTGGGGCCTTCGCCAGTTCCTGTGGGTGGGCAGGAAGGTGGATGTGAGGGCTCCGAGCGGCGAGGGGCTCCGGGAAGGGGAAGTAGGGCTCCTGCACACGCTTTTACCTGGTAAGTGTCAGGGCTGTTCTCCTGATACACGTGAGCCCCGCACAGCAGGGGCCAGCACCGGGCACGCAGGGCTGAGGGGATGCCTTTCCGGCACTGCATCTTTACCTGTGGGGAAGGCCAAGGGACCCCAGTAGGCCAGCCTCCCAGCCTCCCCTGCTCCTCTGAGCAGGCACCAAACACAGCCTGTCACGGGGCAAGGGCCACTTTGGGTGGCCGGGAGAAAAGACAGGAGGTGCGGGACGCAGGAGGGGGAAATGTTGCCTGGGCCTGGACCAAGGCAAAGGGTGCTGAGTCAAGGAGGCTGGCTGGGCCGCTGTCCCGCTCACCTTCTTGTACCGGCGAGACATGGTTTTCTCCCAATGTGATGTCATCTCCACCCACTTCATCTCCCTCTGCCGGATAAGGTCTGCGGGAGGGTGACCTGGCCTGGGAGCACATGTCAGACATGCAGATGCAGGGCAGCTGTTACCGGGAGCCTACCTCTGACACTCTCTGTGCAACCTGTGTAGCCACTGGGGAATTGACCTGTCACCCAGGAGTTGCCAGTAGTTGTTATGGGGACAGGAAAGGATGTGGCTCTGATGTGGGCAGAAGCAGGAAAGACTAAAGGGGGTGTGTAGATGTGCGTTGGGGGAGGGGCTGGTTGGCTGTCCCCAGAATAGGGGCGCAGACAACTCATAGCAGAAGCTGAGTGGACAGAACCCTGTACTAGAAGCCAGGAGTCCCAGAGTTTGCGTCTCGTTCTGTCTCTGAGCTGCGGTGTGACCTCAGGCAAGTTCCTTTGTGTCTCTGGGCTCATTATCCTCTCTATATATCCGGAAAGGGGACATGTGGGGGAAGAGGTGAGGGTTTCTGTGATTTGGATTTGGGATTCTTGGGCCAGAGATGAAAAGGGGAAGAATTTTTGGCTCCAAAGGTGGGCGCACACCCTCGGAGACTGGGTGCAAAAGAGGCATACTTGGCCCTAGCTGGTTTGGCTCAGTGGATAGAGTGTCGGCCTGCAGACTGAAGGGTCCCAGGTTTGATTCCAGCCAAGGACACATGCCTGGGTAGCAGGCTTGATCCCCAGGCATACTTGGACATACTACCCCCAGCCCTGCCACTTCCTTAGGATTCTACCTGGAGCCTGAGGAGTGACACTGGTTGAACCCCAGACCCTCCCAGGACCCTTGAGTTTGGGCCTCACTCTAGAAATCAGCCCTCAGCCCCCACCCTCAATCCATGCATTCCCCCAATCCCCCACCCTTCACCCCCCACTTTCTTCCCCACTTACCCTGGTTCTGCTGAGCTGCCCCCAATGAAGCCATAGCGGTCAGCCTGGCGATATGGGCCCGGGCCACTCAGCTCTGAGTCAGAACCCAAAGAGCTGGAGTCATCCTGCACCAGGTCCTCACCCAGGGACTGGGCCATGCTGTCGCAGACCCCCAATGTCACAGCTGCAAGATGCGAGGAAAGCGAGTGTGAGAGGCAGCTCCTGGCCAGCCTGGGCCTGGGCTCCCAGGCAGCCAGTCCCCAGCCGCAGATCCTGGCTGCGAGTGTAGGGAGGAGGTTTCAGGGTATCTCACCAAGCCCCTCTATCCCCTCTTCTGGAGGGGTGGGCCCTGAAGTGACAGAAAAGCCAGGCCTCCGTACAGAGACCCAGCCCCAGGCCCAGCCCCAGCTCACCTTCCTGCTGCATCTCACCTCCTCCTCTCACTTCCTCCTCAGCCACAGCTTCAGCAACTCACTGGGGGCCCCTCCCCAATGTGTGTGGGGGGGTCACCCCTTCCTCTCTGAGGCTCTTCCTGCCTACCAGAGTGTCCCTGGGCTATCGGCTCCTCCCTCTACCCTTTGGGCAGGCATGGGTTCCTGTGCTGGCTGTGATGGGGCCAGGGTTGCCAGAGGTAGAGAGACCAGGCGTCCTCTAGTTTTGAGGAGACTAGCATGTAAAACACTCAATTCAGTGAGCCAGTGAGAATTATGGTTTATTTAATATTTGCTCTTTACAAAGTAATACTTTTAAAAATATGTATTTTTTTTTTAATCAATTTCAGAGAGGAAGAGAGGAGAGATAGAAATATCAATGGTGAGAGAATCATTGACCGGCTGCCTCCTGCATGCCCCACACTGGGGATCGAGACCACAAGCCAGGCGTGTGCCCTGACTCGGAATGGAACTGATGTCCTGGTTCATAGGTGGACGCTAAACCACTGAGTTATGATGGCCGGGCCAAAGTAATACTTTTAACGTGCACACATGCAGCATTATTATGCTACAGAATAGGCAATGATGGGGCTCATAAATAAATATTAATTTAGGTTGCACCACAGACTGTGGGGCCCCAAACGGGCTCGGAGTTCTGGTCAGCCGCCTGGAGGGCCACAGAGACTCAGGAGACAGGTCCTCCGTGAATGAGACCAGCCCCTCCCTTGCTATCTCTGAGTCTCAGTTCCCTTTTCTGCACTTGAAGGACTGAGTCCATAGCGTCTGGGAAACAATCACCAGGTGGGAAGGACTGTTCAGGTCCTGAGAGTGAAAAACAACTTCCAAGGTACTTCCGGCCGCAGAACCTCGGAAAGGGGCTGGGTGATGCCGAGCAGGGGCGGAACCAGCCTCAACCTCG